ATCTCAATTGTTTCAATTTATCGTGGTCTACCTTGCTGAGACATTCATTTTGATATCAATATCATAATAAATGGTTTGAAAATAAGAAAGTTCAAGCAAAAACATTAACTCCATATTAAGGCTTAATCAAGCCATGGGTAATAGCAATGAACCATTTGTCAATTATTTTTATTGAAAAGTAATGGTAACCATATAAATTAGCCTTTTATAATATTTCAACCAACATCAGACTATCTGAATGGCTGGTATGCTCTTCTTTGTATTGGCAATAGTTTTAAAAGTGTCTTTATTATATTGTTCACACATAGAATATTGATGCCAAAACAATGGTTTATGTTGTCATAATGGATAAACAAATGACCATAGTAACATGATTTATGCTTGAGTTGAAAATTTTATTATTACGCTTCTCTGATAAACTTTATTACGCTTCTCTGATATTACGCTTCTCTGATACCAATCAATTAATATAAGACCAAGAAAGTAAGTCAAAATAGGATTCATCGCCTAGAAAGTACATGGTAACCATGGGAACGAGTGTTTATGGTATGCTAACCAACATGAAGAATTTAATTTATCAGTATATCTAGATGGTTGACATACTCTTCTTTGTATTGGCAATACATATACCTACTTTTAACCATTATTAAGACGTGAGGCCATTAAAACAATCTTATCATATTGTTAATATATGGAATATTGATGCCAAAGCAAGGGTTATGACGTCATAATGTATATGTAAATATAAAGCTAATTAACATAATTTATGCAGGATGTGAAAGAACTTATTATTACGCTTCTTCTGATACCAATAATGCTAAGATTGCTTTAAAACAAAGAAAGTTACAGTCCAAAACGTTTTTATTGCCTAAATTACTGAAAAGTTCACGGTAACCATGGCAACGAGTTTTTATGTTATTCTAACCAACACGCAGCCTTCAATATCAGTATATCCGAAAAGCTGACATACTCTTGCTTGTATTGGCACTGTATTTACCTACTTTCATCCATTTTTAAGAAGTTTAACTAATAAAACACTGTTATTTTATTGTGAATATATGGAAAATCGAGGCCAAAAGAAGGGCTATGACATCATAATGGAAACGCAAATGAGCCAATTAACATAATTTATGCTTGCGGTGAAAGAACTTATTATTACGCTTCTTCTGATACCAATAATGCTAATATTGCTTAAAAACAAAGAAAGTTACAGTCCAAAAAGTATTTATTGCCTACATTGCTGAAAAGTTCACAGTAACCATGGAAACGAGATTTTATGATATTCTATCCCACATGCAACCTTCAATATCAGTATATCCAAAAACCCGACATACTCTTGCTTGTATTGGCACTGTATTTACCTACTTTCATCCATTTTTAAGAAGTTTAACTAATAAAACACTGTTATTTTATTGTAAATATATGGAAAATCGAGGCCTAAAGAAGGGCTATGACGTCATAATGGAAACGCAAATGAGCCAATTAACATAATTTATGTTTGCGGTGAAAGAACTTATTATTACGCTTCTTCTGATACCAATAATGCTAAGATTGCTTACAAACAAAAAAAGTTACAGTCCAAAACGTTTTTAATGCCTAAATTACTGAAAAGTTCACGGTAACCATGGCAACGAGTTTTTATGTTATTCTAACCAACATGCAGCCTTCAATATCAGTATATCTGAAAAGCCGACATACTCTTGCTTGTATTGGCACTACATTTACCTACTTTTATCCATTTTCTAGAAGGTAACTAATAAAACACTGTTACTTTGTTGTAACTATATGGAAAATTGAGGCCAAAAGAAGGGTTATGACGTCAATGGATATGCAAATGAGCGAATTAACATAATTTATGCTTGAGGTGAAAGAACTCATTATTACGCTTCAGCAGATACCAATAATGTGAAGATTTGTTAAAAATCGAGAAAGTTACAGTCTGAAATGTCTTTACCACCAAGTAAGAAATTTAAAAAGTGGGCGTGGCTTTTGCGTCCCGTTTCCATAGTGATCGGCCATTTTTCAATTTTTATTATTGTCATTTTTGAAATCTACATATTCATATTATGATAGTCAGGTATGATTCATGCGGTTGCAAGCTATCTTAATTAAGGTCAACAAATAAGGCCTTTTTGCTGGATCTCCCACTCGCCTATAAAGCAAAAGTACAAAAACATATACGAGATATATAAAAACCCAAAATAAAGGTAGTATACATTATGATGAAAGGACAAGGTTACATTTAAAGTGTGGTGCACATAAATGAATGATAAATGAATAACACAAGAAAAATGATGGCCATTTTCAAAATGGTTGCTCACTTGCCAAATTATCATAAGACAGTGTACCATGCTTATGAATATTCACATATCCAATATGAACAAAATCGCTCTATTACTTTTTGAGTTTTAGTAAAAAAAAAGTAAAATAACGCACATAAAATGGCGGCCATTTTCAAGCCTTAGTCTAGCCAAGTTTCAAAACACAGTGTGCCATGCTAATAAGTAGTCACATATCAAATATGAACAATATCGCTCCACTACTTTTCAAGTTATAGCAAAAATTGTAAAATAGCGTGTAAAAGCCGACATTTTTCAAGATGGCTGCCATGTGTTTCTTAAATATTTAAATGTTAGCTTTATTAATGTTCTATATACTTTTTTCGAGGTCTCCTCTGCCAAAGGCAGCGCAAAGTAGGAGCGTAGTGACTACTTTGCGGGAGACCTCGAACCATTGATCACGTTTGCTCCTGTAATTATTCATTTCTTCACCTCTTTAAAATGTGATTTCAATCAGTTGATCAAATTTTCGGACTTTGACCTCAAATTCAAATATTAATAAAAAAAAAAAAACTAGAAAAACAGCAACTCCACGGAGTAGCAAATCCCACCGAACAAAACATATTATGCTTATTATAGCTAGTGTAAATGTTAAAATGTTTGTGCACTTTGTGATAGAAGCATGAAATTTGGCACAAAGTTAGTTTATACCATTGTGAACTAGGCATCATCATATAAAATTTGAACCAAATCCGTTCACTGGTATATGAGTTATCAAAGATTACGTTTTTTACGAAAATTGGCTGCCATCTTGAAAATTATTTCTTGAACAGAGCTACTGTGTCCCAAGGCATAATCGTATAAAATTTCAACCAAATCTGTTTACTGGTATTTGAGTTATCAAAGATTACGTTTTTTACGAAAAATTGCCGCCATTTTGAAATTAAGCGGCCATCTTGAAAAAATTTCGTCGAACATAGCTACTGTGTCCCTAAGCATCATCATATAAAATTTGAACCAAATACGTTCACTGGTATTTGGGTTATCAAAGATTACATATTTTTACGAAAAATGGCCGCCATTTTGAAATTGAGCGGCCATCGTGAAAATTTCTTTTTGTGCGAAACTACTTTGTCCCTAGGCATCAGCATATAAAATTTGAACCAAATCCGTCAACTTGTATTTGAGTTATGAACGATTACATTTTTTACGAAAAAATGGTGGCCATTTTGAATGGAGCGGCCATATTGAAAATTCCTTCTCGAGCAGAGGTCCTACACTCATAAGGCATAAGCCTTATCACCTGTGATGTCACACACGTGTTGCCACATCAACAACTAAACAAACATTTAGACTTCACTGATTGGTTTAAAGATTCTTTTTTGGCATCATTTGTGACGTCATAAACATGTTACCCACCAACAACTAAACAAATAACAAATAAGTGTATAGGTTCGTTCAGTGCCATGCTCTTGAATCAGTTATAAACAGGGATAATCAACAGATATATTTTTCAAAATAGCCACCATCTACTAAATGTGCCATGAGACAGACGTGCCATGCTTATAGTATTCACACACTAAATATGAACAAAATCGCTCCACTACTTTTCGAGTTATAGTAAAATACGTTTAAATATTCATCTGTTTTAGTGGTTCAATTTTCATATCACCCTTATGTATCTAATAATAATAAAATATGTCCAGTAAAAGAAAATTTTTATCTGTCCAATACAAGAAAAGATATTGAACTTTTTGTGATTTTATAAAATGGGGTCTATGAAGAATCTCTCCGAACTATAGAAGTCACAATTTTAAAAGAAATTAAATTTTCAATGTTGATAAACAATTTTCAAAACCATATTTCTAGATGTACTTTTACTTGTAGATTTCAAATATGACATCACTTTGACTGAATTTTGAAAATTTAATGCAAAAATCAAGATTATATCTACTCGCTTCTAGCATATTGTATTTTGAAGAATAGTTTTTAATAAAAATGTGCATTCAGCAGTTATACTTTTTAGCACCTATGTTGACAGACCAATGGGCAGACAGACCTACACACTGTTTATAATACACACTACCCTAGCCCATAGTTTAGCCTGTATACTTTGCAAATGGAGGATGTTTGTTCACCTCCATATATCTGAAGGTATAATATGAGGTTATATAATGGTTGATTCTGTATATCGTGTTTATACTCAAGTGAGTATATGATATATTCATGAGTGACCGAAGGGAATGAGTGAATATATCATATACTCACGAGAATCAACCATTATATGATCTTATTATCCCACCCTAATCTTTAATCAATAAAAGGTTAATCTAAATTCAGCAGTTGTATATTGAGTCGAAAAGTTGTATACGCGGCCCAGGAGTTGTATACGCTATCCAGGAGTTGTATATCGTTCTCAAGAGTTGTATACGATGAGTGTTGGTTTTATATTGCAGTTATACAATGCTATTATACAATCATATAAAGCACTTAGGGTAGTATAATAAATTTTACATATATTCCAAGTGTTCTACTATGTATTGTAGAGATTCATCGAGCAGTTTGCATTGTATACTACCAGAAGAGCCCTATAGGCAAAGATAGAGAATACCTGCTCCATTTGCAACTTCCCTGAAGCCTGTATCCATTTTAAAGAAATACAGGCTACATTAGGGTAGGGTAGTGTGAAATAAGAGAGTTCCTATAGAAAGCTATATTTACCTGGAACAAGGTCAGTGTTATAGCTGACATCAGCATAGTGTGTCTTCACCTCCTTTGGTACAAAGCTGACCTTGTACTGGCTCTGTGCATTACTTATCTTCTCTACCTCATGGGGCACTAGCTGGTCACCTGACCTGACTTTGATCTCCAGATTGCCCTCTCCAGCCTCAGAGGCATCAACTGGAACATAAAAGCACCATTGAGTAATAGCCTATAAAGTGACCACTTGTTCAAATTGCAATATAAAGTGGGTATATATGGATGGAATCAGCACAGGAATAAAGAAAACAGAAAAGATATCACTCTTACTGTGAGAAAATAACAGAAAAATAATGACATATAAGTTAAATATTAGAGTTTTTAATATTCAAGGCTGAGATTTCATGCATATCAACATTTTCCAACTGATATATAAGCAAGTTGGTATGTTGAACACACACCTGTTTTATGATGATTTTTCCCATATTTCAGATCATCATTGAACCAAGAATCTACCACATCTGTTTTTGATCCTTTCTTTTTACTATCTGCTATCAATATTTGGTCATGATTTGAATTTGAAATGCTGCGGTTGCTTGATGAAAAGTTGCTGTATAGTGGCTCCTGATTTGTTACATTCTGATTTCCATCGTTTTCAAATACTGCTTCCGTGAATCTTCTCCTAGTGATTGGCGTGACATGATGGCGATGTGTTTCACCATCTTGGGAAACGGATAACTTTTTACGAGTATGAGGTGAAGAAATATGATGATTGGTTGAATGCACAGATGTTGATTTCATTGGAGCTAAACTAGATGTCGTATTGACACTTTCTGGTGGCATGTGTATACTTTTATGTCTTATATTGACACTTTCTGGTGGCATGTGTATACTTTTATGTCTTATATTGACACTTTCTGGTGGCATGTGTATACTTTTATGTCTTATATTGACACTTTCGGGTAGAATATTTACACTTTCAGAACTTATTGTGTCCGAGGAATCACCACGGATCAAGCCTGATTGATAGACTTTTCGTTTTTGATATGGAGTTAGTCGCACATTACTAGATGATTCCAGCAACTTTTGATTGGAAGCACTTTTAGGCATTGGGCAAGGTGGTGCTAGGGTATGAACTGTCTTGGTAGGACTTTGTGACCTGTTGTGTCCAGTTTTATATGTCCTTTTATAATGAAAATTAGGACTTTTGGGGATATCAACCCAAACAGGCACATCAGTCCTCTGTGATCCCGAATTTCCAGATTTCTGGAATTCAGAGATGAAAGTCCTTTGTAAACGAGGAGATAACGTCCCTTTTGGCTGTTGGGAATAAAACTGTGATTTGGAAAAATGATCTGATGTATCCATAGCAATGGGTGATTTGGGTATTTTGCTCCAAATATCCTTTCTCAAAATATAGTTCCTTGAAGGAGTTAGCTGTTGTAAAGATGATTTATTTCCTTTATCAGAATCTATTCTCACTCGCTTATCATGTTTTGGTGATGTGCCCCTTTTCAAAATAGGTAAAGATTTTTGTCTCTTAAAATAAGCCTCTTTTTCCAATTTTGTTGCTCCAAACTCATCATCTGTACTAAAATAAAATGTCTCTGATTTTATTTCCTGACTTTTATTTTTAATTTGATTCCCAGAACTTTTCACATCATGACTGCTATTTTCAAATTTTCCATTTTCAGTCTTAACTATTTTATAGCCGAGTTGTCTAACTGCATCAATAGATGGCTCAGGTTTCAGTATGTTTGATTTTAATTCTCTGTCAGTTGAATCAATATGTTCTACAATATTGTAATTCTTAATAGACAATCCAATTTGTTCTGATACTGAATCAGTGTTTTCAGTATGATGTGTTATATTTCCAGAATTTTGGTCTATGTTAATAGTCTGTTTTCTCTCAATTTGTGGTGATGAAGGCATCCTTGCTTTATAATTATTAAAATCTGTGACTGCTCAGCAATGTCCCTTAACATATAGAAGAAGGATATTACCCAGGGATCTTTACTACATCATGTGACATGTCTTGAGCAATCAGAACTGTTTATGGTTTATGGTTAGATGTTGTATTAAGTTTACATATTGTTGAATCTCTTTCTGCCATTTCATGTCTAAATATGTTGTATTTCAAGTAAAAGTCAATGTACAATATAGTTTTCTACAGCATGATAAAGGTTTAGGCAAATGTATCAGTTTACATAATTGGCAGAGGAAAATATATAAGCAAACTCCCAGAGTTCATTAAAATAAAGTGTCAATATTAATCCATACAGTCCTTGCATCCTTTCTAATTATTCACTTTGAATCTGCTTGCAAATCTTTTGGAGGTTTGTGGGACTGGAAATTATGCTCTCATGAAACATTCCAAGATAATTTAAAACAGCTAAAAGTCCAGCATTACTTGATGAATCAAAAAGTGAAAGAAACAGAATGTTCCTGTTTGATGAAATATTAACCCATAGAGTCCAATTGATATTCAGGATGAAATTATGAATATGTCATTATTGTACATTCCTGAGTATTTTTATGACAATATAGTGACAATGAGGTGACAGGTCAGTAGCATTATAATAGCTGCCAAAACTATGCATGGTCATGTATCTGAACACAAAACACATAATGAAGAGTGTGGAATCAGCAAGGAATAAGAAACAATAGCTCAGTTTGCAGTAAAGATTTTGGGGTCACTAGGTAGACAAAAATTTTCTGCATCAATTCAAATATGTCAGGTGTCTTACTAATTTGTAAACAAATGATTTGAGCATTAATAGCTCCCAAGAATAACAATTTAAAAGCTGCTTTGATTATTCTATAACATCATTAGTACATACTGTATTTGCTATAGTTCATCATGAGAGCAAAATGTATACAGTTCCACACAGCATCCTTAGAGGTATATGGGAGCTTTATCTACTGTAGAATCTTTATAAACAGGGCGTCACAAAAAGTGTATACTATATGATATGGGAATAACTCATTTTCCTTCATCAAAAAAGCTGGACTGTTCACATGATAAAGATTTCATTTTCAAAAAAGCAGTTTAAAATTCATAGAAACTAATTGTAAATTACTCACTGAAAATGTGATATTTTTTTTAGATAATACACCTCTACTAAAGGACGATTCTCGGTTTGGAGAACAGTCTCCTGGGCTAATATTTTTTTTCATGAAAAATATAGAAATATTACCCAAATTAAACTATGAATATTCAAAAGAGGACATTTAAATCTACAAGATGTAAAAATAACAAATTGGTCTGAAGCAGGGATAACGCTCAATTAGACCGATTCAATAAAATACAAGTCTCGATTTGGGGAAAGAAGTTCATCAGTGTACTGCGCTAATATTTTTTTGCGAAAAATCTAGAAATATTACCCAAATTAAATTATGACAATTCAAAAGAAGCCATTCAAATCTATATTATGTAAAAAAATCAAATTTGTCCGAAGCAGGGATAATGCTCATTTAAATTGATGCACTTCGTTCTCCAAACCGAGAATCGTCCTTTCAAATAAAATTCGAAAATAATTGAAGACTCAAAAATAACCATTTGAAATCAAAATTAGTTTTGAGTATTACTATTTGATACCAATGGGTAAGACCACAATAGAAGCCAAAGTGGAATAAACTTTACACGAGGCCTTTAACCTTTAAGAAACCTTTAAATCAGACTGGTGAAATAGGCATGACCAGGTATTTTAGAAGACACTACCTGGTAGATAGATGTACATACCAATGAATGTGCTCTGTTCCATTAGCAGGCTGGGTGTGGTGAAATCAAACACCCGTACTTTGCGTGCATCATAGGCTCTCACTGAGAAGGGACTTGCCTGTATCGCCATGCGAGCATATTGGGCATCTATTCTATGGACTCCTGAAGTACACAGAATTTGGAATTTGATATACCTTGCCTAGCTGTGTGTGAATAATATTTAAATGCATATCTGTTCTTGTAGACAAATATTACCATTATATAATGTCAATTGCGTTCACTCAAAACATTATACACAAAAGAGAAATATTTGATGATATAATAAAACAAGTTGAGTCACTTACCTACTTCATTACATTGGTATTCAACTTCAAATGTATTGTCTCCATTGTTGATGATCTGGTTTGGGACTTCTTTACCAGATGGCGCTGTAAACAATGCTTGGAGCTTAAAATATGTTACACTTTCAATCTGTAATATATTTTGTAGTATGACGTTTGTTTAAGGCGAAATTCTAATTCTAAAATAGTAGAAAGTGATATAATATTGCTCTTATAATAATGCAGATTATGATGTGTCCTGAAAAAAGTTTAACAAGGAGACTGGTAGATAATAGTAAAAACTCCGCAGAATACATGTGTATTAAAAACATTTATAAAATGACTCAAGTTATATAATACTATTTTAGTACTATAGTAGAAAAACAAGGCATTAACATGACAAAATGTCACCACCAAGTTGCTCACAATATTGTTAGTTCAATCTTAAGTAAGATTTGAATTTCTAAGTACTTGTAGATGATTTTGAAAAAATAAATTGGTGAATTTGAAGCAAGTTGAAAAAATACCCTTTTAGACCCTGAGAAGGTCGCTGAAGGTGAAATCTCAGATTTGAACTTCTGAGAACTTGTAGATGATCTTGAGAAAAAATTGGTCAATTTGAAGCAAGATGAAAAAATACCATTTTGACCTTGAGAAGGTCATTGAAGGTCAAATCTTTTTTGACCTTGAGAATGTCATTGAAGGTCAAATCTATAGCTGGTTTTGAACTTTTGAGAACTTGTAGTAGATGATTTTGAAAAAAAATTGGTAAATTTGAAGCAAGTTGAAGAAAGACCTTTTTGAACTTTTTTGAACTTGAAACGGTCATTGAATGTCAAATCTCAAATCTTAAGTCAGATTTGAACATCTGATAACTTGTAGATGATTGTGAAAAAATTGGTCAATTTGAAAAAATACCTTTTTTGACTTTGAAAAGGTCATTGAAGGTCAAATCTTAAATATAAAGTCAGATTTGAACTTCTGAAAACTTGTAGAAAATTTTGAGTTTAAACAGTATTTGTTAAGTTATTGAAAGTTGTAAGAATTTGTTACAGATGCCCAATGCCCACCACCATAAAAACGGAGACCATAACAATATGTCACCACTTTTTGGTGGTGACATAACAAAGCAAAGATAAATATTAGTATTTAAGAAGTTAGTAAGCGACTATTTTTATTATAACTAACAAGCAACAAAAAGCAAGCAGCATGCACCAATCAATCTAAATGGACCAAGTCTTTCTAAAACATGCACACATGTTCACTGAATGATATTGCATGTGTATGATTGTTTCTGGATCTAACTATATTGTATCACCATTCTTTCCTAATTGAGGTTGAAATCCCAGTCCAATTAGGAGAACACAACTTTTTTAGAGGAAAATTAATAGTTGAAATAAAACAATGTGCGTAGCCACACATAGTCATAACTAGACATAAATGAGTGAACAATATACACTCGTACATAAATGAGACAACACTCATACATAAATGAGGCAACAATACACTCATACATAAATGAGACAACAATACACTCATACATAAATGAGACAACAATAAACTCATACATAAATGAGACAACACTCATACATAAATGAGACAACACTCATACGTAAATGAGGCAACAATACACTCATACATAAATGAGACAACAATAAACTCATACATAAATGAGACAACACTCATACATAAATGAGACAACATTCATACGTAAATGAGCCAACAATTTCAAAATTTTAATTTTTCCCAAATTTTTCATTTTTTCGAAATTTCTCATTTTTTCAAAAAGATAATTTATGCTCTTGACCATGGTATAAGGTCGTTATTCACCAGTCAGAATGATATGGGTAATAATGGTATATTGTCATTTTGACAGCGTTGTCAGTTAGGGGGAAGTCTTGGATGAAATTCTACGTTTCGCAGAGTGGTACATAATTCTTTTTTTCAGGGGTTAGCCCCCCACCCCCCCAAAAACACCCCACCCGAGAAATAATTTTTTCATTTTCAATAACTTTAGATATCTTGATGTTTGTAAGTATCATACAGAGACATTATATATATGAAATATTTGCAAAATAAATGATGTGACTCCAATAGAATTTGAATAATATGTACCACAGGGGGCAAATTCATGACCCATTTTCTTACTATTTAGAGCTCACTTTACCTCATACAACCTCAACCTCATACAGCTGGTTCAATTTCTGTATTATTGCAATAAGGTAAAATAATAAATAAATTGAATCATACTATCATACTCATAAACATACATATCTTGATAGCAGCAAAAAGCAGAATATAAAACATAATTTCATTTAGCATTAATTTTGAACAATCTAGTATAAATACATAATAAAAATCATTATGCCAGATATTGCAACCCAGGTTAATTTAGCCTTTTCATGGATTTGAAAACCTGCAAATTATAATAGCACACATACTGTAACAATATGTGCAACCTGGAAAGTACACAAAACAAAATAATAATATATTTTGATGAAGCTTTGCAAATTTCTAGTGCGAGTTGAACTACCTGGGTTACATTATAATGGTTATATATAACAATATATAATACATTAAAATGAAAAATAATGGAATAAGTTAGGAATATAAAACATGTTGCTGATCAGTTATTAAGTCTAAATTGAAAATACTGTAAATGGCAGACACAAAGAGAAATAATGTGGACAAGGCAGTAAGCAGAATAAGCATTATTGTACAGTTCAATTATTGGAAGTTTCCAATCAGTGATCCATTTGAAACATTATATTCCATGTGGACATCACTATTCAAATGCCCATTCCACACTAATTCACTCAACATCTCAATGAAGTTTTTAATTTTCTTGCATTTCTATAAAATTGAGAGTGTGAACATATCTTTACCTTTTCCTTGCTCATCCCATCATTTTCAAGCAGCAAAAGTTATGCATACATTTTCTTTGAATAAATCAATATTTGAACAAAATCAATCAAATATAAATCAAAAACTAATATATCTAGTCTCTTGAATTATGCCACAAATAACATTTCAAGCACAATACAATGTATTTTTTCACATAAATATTAAGCAGAAGATTTCCCATAATGCATTTTTATATTTCAGCAGGTGATTATGAGATGAAACCTGTAAAACAATGTCTTTGAAGCTCATAGATGGCTATCTAGTGACACATATATGTGTCCCATAATGAACTTATGGCTATATTTACCCGAGATGCGTATATCAAGCTGCGCTGGGCCAAAACTAGTAGCATCAACCAAGAAGTTGACATCTTTGCCCACTGGGAAGAGTTCTAGTCCCTCTCCTGTGGCGAACACCAATGAGCCATCTAATACACGTGTTGGTATGGGGCATGCTGAAGTATAGTATTAAAGGGTAATATGTAGCTTCCCATATGAAAATGGGTGGTTAACATGATGGAAGATTTATGCTAGTTCCTACATTTGCAAACTGTAATATGCATGAAGGAATACTTTTTGAGAACTTCTTTTGACATTCATTACTTTTCATCATATTTGGCAGTCTTTTTTAAAAAAAAAAGTTGTTTCAAAAATAGGTTAAATGGTAAGACACACGATCGACCAACCAATAGACTGACAGATGGACCAACAGCTTCTCTTTATCCCTACAAACTTTGTTAGGTTGTGGTTCAAACGAGTGACAGTTTTCATTTTACAAGAATTACTGATGGGAGATACGACACACAGATGGACATTTTTTAGAAAATAGATTGTAAGAAGAACTTAACATATATATTTTGATAACAATATTTCTAACATTTTACACTCTTATTCCTTTAACCAGCAGATGGGAAGCTGTGATGCATCATTTCTTACCTGGGACCTTCAAGTAGTTGAAAGTGACATCAATAGAGTGATCGCCTGGCTCATTGGGGTTGTAGCTGAATAAATGTTTGTTGTTTCCAATACTGTCCCGAGAGGAACGAACAAGATTACCCATAGGGCTTGTCACTTCTGCATCAATGTCTCCATATCCTGCTTCTGATGCATCAACTGTAATATTGAATAAGGAAGGCTGAGAATTAATTAGGGGGGTTAACATGTATGCGTTGTACCTTTAAATTTTACCATTTGTAAAAAGGTTAAACAATTGTTGGAAACTGATTCTGTTTTCATAATATTTTGATAACATGAGTATAGTAGGTGGCTAAATACTGTGTGGTTTCCTTTAACTCTTGTGGCGTACCCATCTTTTTATGAAAGGTAAATAACATCTATTTCGATGTTTAAGGATGCTTGTATTCTACAAATGTTCCCCTGGCCCTATGATTGTACTAAAATGACAAAAATCAGGCAAATTCTAACTTTAGAGAATTAGAGAAAAATACCATTATTCATTTATCTCCCTTTCTTACCTGTAAAGTGCATATCTTTTTTTAAGAAGCCAGTGAAATCAACATTTATGACCTTGACCTTGGTGACATCAAACACCTGGCAGGTAAAAGGAGAACCAATCACATTTGCACCTCCATATGTCACTGCAACAACATGGCCACCAACAACCTTTGGTGTGAATTCTCCAATATAGATGTCACCCCGTATTCCAACAACTGTATCCAGATTGTCACCTGTTGGATCTGAAAACACAGGAAAGATGCTCTTATTATAACTTACAAAATAAACAAGTGAATCAATTTAAAGAAATCAGAGAAGACAAATCCTTCAATGTAGCAATTATTGCAGGTTGATATCTCACATTGATGTGAAAACGTTGATGCATTGTATATTACAATGTGTTGTATTGAAACCTGTGAATTTGTGTTGTGCAACTTAAAGACTCAGATAGAAATAAGGGCAAAAAGATACATAGTTTTCCTCTGATGTCCCGATTTGTACATTTGTAAAAAAATAATGTTTGGCCCCTATGAGTTGTGTTCCAGATTGTACTGTAGCCTGACTTATCATTATACTAAGGTTTAAATAAATATATCTGTCAAATTAAGAAAATAAGTATAAAAGAACAATATGTGTGATTTTGTTTTTTTCTAATTTGTACAATGACATTCCTTCTAAATGACATTATTTAAGTCATGTAAGGGTGTCAACTACAATATGCACAAAAACTATTTCAATAATAAATACAGAAAATCTCCATAATTTCATGATACATATTGTTAAATTATTATAAGTCAGTGAAGGTTTTTATATAAATTATAAACTACTCTTCAATTATTTGAGACTACAAAAATAAGTAATAATAATGGGAAAATGTGTGTAAGACCTAAGCAGCTCACTAAGAAGGACTCTTTGCATATGGGACTTGCTATTGAGACCACTTGTAAACATTAAAAAATGTTAAGATCCAGACAATAGACTATTAGTGGATTATAACAAGAGTAAATTAAATGTTTGAAATTCAATCAATTTTAATATATAAATCCCTCTAATCATAGCAACACCAGTTGTAGATAAGCCTTTCCCAATAGGTTAGTATGGTGCCACTAAGGGAAAAGGGACCATCCCAAAAATGAATGGAACACTTATTTTTTGAAATGTTAAACATTTCCCATGAAACATTAAACTTATTAATGAAAATTTTTACCGAGTTACTTTTACTAATTAAATATCTAGTTGCAATATTGAATGGTAAGATTGCAAGCAATTGTGGAATCAAATATTTTAGAATTAAACAGTTAGTACAAAGAGCACTTGAACACTCACTGTTAAAATATGAAATTAATTATAGAAAATATGTTTCTTATTTGTTCAAAATGGAATTTTATATCAAAAAAATTCCTGAAATAAAAATTGTCTGAATATGAAATTATTCTATAAACTATGTAATGTCTGTACAATAACTAAAATAAAGATTATTTCAAAAGAAGAAAGCGACTGGGAATAAAAAAGCAACGGGAATAAAAAAGCAATGGGAATTTGATATGACCCCTAAACATGAGGGGGAGGTTAACAATAGGCTAACATAATACTTGGAAATAGCCGTCAAATGTTTCTTTGAATACAGTAGCTAGGGGCATAACATTATCATTGTTGAATGTGGAACATTGTATTTGATTTTAAAATCTTCTCACAAACAGAGGCAAAAAACCAAAGCTAGAATGGCGGATGCTCCACTTGATATGTTACATCGTGATCCAAGGGGTGTCAATGCCCACCTGCAGGTAAATTTATGTTTTTTATTGAAAATCGAAAAATTCTATGAAGAAGCAGATATATGACAGCTTGTGGAATGAAAAACTAAATGCTTAGCATATAAACACTTCCACTCATTTTAACATTTTAAAAATCTATTCATACATTTATAAAGATTTATTTGGCAAAAAAACTAAATGAATTAGAAAATATTCATATAATGTTGAGTAATGCTTTTCAAGTTTTATAAGGAATCAAAATGAAAATACAACACAGACATGCATGTATTATAAATCAGTGTGCTCATTTAAGGGTTTTAGAAAAAACTTGCTTCTTCAATTCAAGTTTAAGTTAATGTCTAATATTGATGTTCTGCATGGATCAGACACAGGTGTACAAGACATAAAACTTTTCAGGGTGTTGCCTTTGATGAATGCATTGCCGAACCAGATTCTGCCCATTCCATGGACTGCATCTGGTCCAACTCCTACAAATGCTTTGAATGCGGCAAAGGTCTCTGCTACAAACTTCTGACCTGTATGTGTGGTATTTGCATTGCCTTGTACTGGGGATGCACATTCGGAATTATCGCATTTGAGCATGTTTGGTGCATCACTCCTAACCTCAAGGTCCTTGACATCAACTGCAACATCTGCCAGAGGCTCTACGGTCTGTGTGTACACTGCATGTGCGATCCTTGCTGTGATGCCTTTGCTATTCTCTTTAAATTCTTTGGGAAAGGAGGTGGGGAATAAGACTTTGTTCATGAACTGTGGATGTGGCCATCAATATCTGATGACATCATAATATGAGAAATTGAATTATAAGCTGATGAAACACCATGAGGGACACTTTATAAAACCTTTATAGACCTTAAATCCTGCATATCTGCTATCTCCAGTATTAAACATCAGAATGCATCAACAAAAAATATGTTAAAACTTTTAAATAATTATTTGGAAAATTGTTCATTTCTGATCTATAAAGGTCTTTGTGTGTATGTGTGAATTATGCTCTATCTTCCTAACTATTATACTGATACATTTCACAATATATGAGGGGTGTACAATAAGTAAAGTGACTGCCTTTAAGGTCTGCTGCCATCCCATTATTTATGATGCATATCCATAGTAAACCAATTATGCTTGCCAAACAATTGTAAAAGCTTTGAAATAAATCTGATTATATGCTTTATATGGTCATGTTTTTTGTATAGTTTGGGCAAAGGAGTGGAAATAGCAAGGAATGGGAAAAGGAAAAGAGGTTCATATACCTATACACTGTACTTTACAGGATGGTTAAAAAAACATTTGTTAATTGTACACAGATCTTTTATTTCTCCTAAATTTTAATGAGTTTGGTAATTTGTTTATCTGCAATGCATTAAACTAGAAAATATTTGATAGGATTCCCCTTTCTTAAATATCTATGAGTCAATTTTGCCCGATTCAAAAAAATCATTCAAAGATTCAAGGAACATGTTATAAGGATTGTTATTAAGGATTGTAATACACATTTTATAAAATAACATTGTATTGGCAAGTGGTATTTACATATATGGTTTAGTAGAAACTATTCTGTTAATGCAAAATGATTAAATATATTTGAGAGAAGGGAAGAAGATACATGCCACAGGTGACCGAATATAATTGTACATTCATAAAAATAGAAATTGTTTCTCACCAGTAACTGTAACAATGACTTCTGCAGCTGGGGTACCTCTGGGGTCAATTTCAAATCTACACAGCATGTTAACAGGGGCAATGCGAACTTCCTCAGTATTTACCAGCACATTACTTGTGTCAATTACTCTGCATTGGAATGGGGATCCTGCAGCAAAAATAATAGTTCCTCACATTAATCACAGTAATATATAATCTGGGTCTTATATTTTGAAGGTATTACCATTACTTGGTTACCATTGGCCACAGGTGAGCTAATATCCAGTAAAATACTCTGTCTCCTGAAGGAAAGGTCTCCCTATAGTGATCCCAAATGTTTCTTACCAAGTACAACCTCTCCGTTGAATATGATGTCAATGATGTGTATATCTGTGGTCTCAGGAATGAATGTCACCAGAAAGACACCACGACTTTGAAGTTTAACGACATTTGGGACATCACCATTTTGTACCATGATCTCAAGTTGTCCTTCCCCAGCCTCAGATACATCAACTAGAAAATAAATGAAGATCATTTGATACAAGTATACACGAGTCATTATGAAAACCGTTGATATGTAATTCCACAATAACCTGGAAAAATCTGAAAAATCTAAGTAATGACAGTTTCAATGATGCTGTGTAATTTACATAAAATTGTACCTGTAAATGCTACAGGCATAGCAAGGATACCATCTGGTATAGGGCTAACTCTGATAGCACTTGTGTCGTAAACTTTACATGTGAATGGGTTCCCTGGTACAAGAAGATCTGCGTATGTCACCTCATAACTGTAAGTTCCTATAAACAAAGCAAGATTACCGTAGATTCCTTGACAATAACTGTAGGTTACTTTAAGATAACTGTATGTTCCTTTATGCCTCAGTCACATTTGATCTATGGCAACCATAAGGCGACTGTAGCTTCCAAATTGAGAGAAATATGCAGCATATAATATAAAGATGAGCGGTGTGATGTAGATCTTTTATATTGATTTTGTGAGGTAATTGTATGGCCACTGTAGAGCAAATGTAACTGAGGCTTTAAGATTACTGTAGGTTCCTTTCAGTATGGTCCATATCCAAATATTTTCTCTTTTAAAACTGGTTCATGACTATACTGGTTTGACTTATTGTCAAACCTTTTGAAAAATTGATTGTCCTTGTCTCTGTGGTGTAAACGCTGGACTTCTAATGCTAAGGTCCTGGGTTCAATCCCAGCATGTGACAAAAGGAGCTACATGTAGCTTATGTTAACTAGTAATGTTAACTAATTAGAAGTGCCTATGGTCCAGAGGCCTCATTATCATCTGGTCGCAAATAGTTGCGTTGCGATTGCGATCGCAATTCGTAACGCATGCGATGCGTGATATTATCAATTGAGCGCAATCGCAGACGCAAAGCAATCGCAAAACAATTAAAACATAAGTTGCGATCGCAAGTCTAGAGTGTATTTTGGTGCGAAATTTAAAAGGACACTGGCGCTAGTTTTTGACATTGATTGATTGAAATTGATAGAAATCCAATAATTGATATGATTTGATTGGTTGCGCATGCATTACTCTTGTGCAAGACATAAGTGCGCCAAAATGCAAATCGATTTACATTGAACAGACGGTAGTCGAAGAAACATGTCGAGGGCAAGGAATTGGACAAATGATGAACAAGAATTATTAGTATCTCTCATTGAGAAGGATGCAAATATTCTTTTGGCACCACTTAGCTGTCAAATAACAATACAGTCACAGGATAGTTGCTGGGCAAGGGTAGCTGAAAAAATAAGTTCACTTGGTGTGGAAATGAGGACTAGAAAAAACGTTATGTAAGTCACACATCACTGAAAATAAATAACTGTTAAAACGGGAAGTTGTCATGTTACTGAAATAAAATGAACTTTTGGTCGTTGTTGTATGTGTTCTACAATGCTTCTATCTAAAATCCGTCAATATAATTTTTCAACAGACAATGAAACGATAACAGCTAATGAGTTTTCTATTTGGTGGTGTATTTTACATTTTATACACATGCAAGAAAATTGCAAGTTGTGGGTTCCATATCGATATATGTTTAAATATGTCTCCAGTGTTTTGCATTTATTTTCCTATGGAACAAAATATGAAACACGTCTTTTGCATTGTGATCAAAGCAAATCATGTTTGAATCAGGGTCTGGAGGAAAATGTGAAATCTTGGTGTTCTTGTACTTTTGCAGACGATGTAGGTGAGGTACATATACACTAGGAATACTCAGAACATTAGTGTAGTAGTGGCAAGATTAATTCACCAAACAAGCTTTATTAGCTAGATAAATATTTAATTGGCGAAAATTCTATGCTCCAAAGAGCACGAAATATTGCAGGCACCAATCTAAGACGTATACAGTATGTGATACGTTCGCAATATTTAGAAACAAACGTGATTTTTAAGGATTTACAGGCTCAATTAAATGTATATTTTAATCATATTAAATAAATAAAATTGAACAATTTCTTCGATACTATTGATTAATACTTAACAGGTAGTGAAATGACCGATATAAAACACCACAAAATATCCGTTAACATAGATAAAATAACACTCAAAGATGAACTAGATTTGCGATTTGATTTGCGACAGGGTAAACGTCGTCGCAACTTTTTGATTAGTTGCGATCAGAAAATCGATAACTTTGCGTCAGACTTGCGATGCAATGGAATGATAATAACATTTTTGGGAAATAGTTGCGTTGCAATGTCTTGCGATGCGATTCGCATGCGATTTTGCGTTGCGACCAGATGATAATGAGGCCTCTGGCCAGGATAAAGATACCATGTCCCGTTAGATTAATACAGGGATTTGTTTGTACCTTCAGATATCAAGTTAACCTATCACACATATATGCCTTGTGGTGTCTGTGTGAAATAATTGTAACTCAAATAAATAAATAAATGTATAGAATCCTCGTGGAGGCTGCCAACTTTCTAAGAACAATCTATTATTACTTGATATTGCAGATTGCTCCAATGATCTACCCCATTGAGAATATGCTATTTGATTGAATATGATTGGTGATAACTTACCAACTTCATTAGGAATATACTCTACTTTGTAAGTTCCATCTTTGATGTCTACTATCTCATTCTGGACAGGAAGTCTGGTGGGAGCTGAAATATAAACCCACAATGCACTATAACTGATCTTATATCTTATTATCTTATAAAGGGGCCATCATAAGAGATCAACAAGCTAATATTATGAGAAAGAAGATTATCTATGCAACTAATTCAAATACATTGAGACTCACATGATATTTTCACTGCAACGATACCAGCGCCAGCATTATTTGTAGTCACCTCAAACCATGTCAGTTTGTTGATTGGCACTAGGTCTAAACCTGCCCCCTTGACAGTAACTGCACTTGCATCTGTAACTTCAACAATCCGTGTGCTCCCTAGAAATTTAAGAATCAAATCTTTATTTACTGCGGACTACAACTGTCTGATTTGGGAAATTGAATTATTTCATTCCACAGAGTCTGTAATTGGGATTTGAGATTATTTTGAGAAAACAGCCTACCTGGAACAAGTTCCTCATTGTACTTAATGTCCACTGTATGTGGCCTGGCAACTGTTGGAATGAATGAGATAAGGAAGATTCCCTTGCTTTTGAGGCGTATGTTATGCTCCACAGTTCCTTGGTTGATGAGTGTTTCTAATTGACCCTCTCCCGCATTTGTCACATCAACTGAAAAATAAGTGTGAATGTTTAAAGCTAAAGTGGAACATGTTTGGTACCTTAAAATAGTGTTCCACGTGTGAGGTGTTCTATTTACAAGATTCATGTCACATTATGTTGATGTCTAGCAGGACATTCAGTTATGAAGTGGTCCCTACACTGTTATAAATAGGTGCATGTGATCACAGAAACACTATTTTCATGGGAATACAATACATCTATGACTTTTAAAATGTCCAAAAATATTTAAAGTTACCAGTAAACTCTACAGGTTTGCCAATGATTCCACGCGGCATCCTGCTAACCATGATGGCATTTATGTCATAGGCACTGCTACGGAATGGGCTACCAGCTATTACTTGATCTGCATGAGTGATGTTGATAACATATGCTCCTGAAATACAATGAAAGACAATAATACTTTTAGACTCTCTATTACTTACTGCCACTTAACATGTAAGGTGAATTATAGATTCAGCTGATTAAAGGCAGAATTAGATCAGATCTATAAGGAGTAACAAAACTGCAAGCAACACAAGCAATTTACCTTCCAATCATTTCCTATCAATCTCAAAGACAATATCTCCCATAACATCTTATAAATTGGTAAAGTTATTAAGGTTTCAAAGTGCCAAAATGAGGGAAATGTTTAAATTCTCCAATATAATAAAAATGGTAACCATATAAATAGAAAATAGATAAACAATACATTGTTCTTCAAAGGCAAATGTACAAAATAATAAAGGACCCACGGTCCTGTGCTCACACAGTGTTTTGTGCAGCCAATGATGATTGACTTTATACATGAGAAAGTTCCCTGAAAATGACAAAGTCCTACTTTTTGTCAAATTTTATAGAGTAGACACCAAAAACTGTAATTTCAAGAGCTTTGAAATCTTCAGAGAACATAAGTTGCATATGCAGCAACTACTACAAGTTATTTGAAAGTTCTACTTCAACAAAGTGTCTAGTATTTACAGAAAATGTGACTTTTAAACCTCTAGAGCTTCTCACCATGTAACATGTATGAATATTTGAAGTAAATCCATCAAGTGGTTTTCCTGGAATCGTGATGACAAGAAAGTGAGACGACACCCACCTGCCGACTGTCAAGCTGACGACAATATCATAACTTTTTAGGTATAATAAAAATATATGTATCTTACCTACAATTGAAGGGATATACTCTACTCTGTATGTTCCATTGTGGTTGTCCATGACTTGTATAGGGATAGCTTTACGTGCAGGTGCTAGAAACAGTAGAATGGCAGTAATGTACAAATATTAATGAGAGTAGAAAGTCAATTTCAATAGGTATTCACCACTCCTAGGGATTTCCTATACTACACTGAATTTAATAGATTTCTTTAAAAGGTCCTGGGAGTTGATCACCACTTGTCTAAATTGATAACCAGTGAATATTGGTCTATTTTTCATTTAATGTGACTGGTTTGACTAATTATACATTATAATAATTGTTAATTGCAAGCTTCTCTGATATAATGAATTTGAACATTCAGTGATACATCTGCATTTTGAGAGCGATCTACATACATGTATTTATGACTCAGAAAGATTCTCCAATATTCAAATGATCTTTATATTATATAAAAATCATATAATCGTCCAAAAACTGACTAAAATTTAATGTATACTGTTGGGATTTAAATTTAAAAGACTTACACATAACTTTAATTTGTAGTTCAGCTTTTCCAGCCTTCCTTGCATCAATATCAAATGTTGCAACTTTCTTAATAGGTATGATCTCCAGGCCACTTCCTGTTGCAACAACTTTGGTGGCATCTGTGACATTTACATTCCATGGGCTCGCTAAGAAATAAGGGAAGATGATGATCAAAACATGAACCAACCAGGTCAAATCATTACAGTCAATACATGAGTCATACAATTTCATTTATTTTCAAAGTACTTTGGTTACCTGGGAGTAATATGCCATTGAACTTCATATCAACAAAGTGTGTTTTAGCCTCCTGTGGTACAAACTGTACTTGGAATACCCCTGTGCTCCTCTTAGAGACCTCTATTGGTACACTTCCCTGGTTCACCATTATCTCTAGCTGGCCCTCACCTGCTGCTGTCACATCAACTGAAATCATGGGATATATAGACATAATTATGGAAATGCATTGATTTAAGATAGAAAAAATTAAAAAAGATGATATCTTGACTGAAATTTTGAGATATTGAAACTCAAATATTCTCCTTTCATAACTTTTTCACAATTATTATTCAATTAAACATTTTAATCCTCTTACTTACCCATGAATGCAATAGGTTTTCCAACAATACCATTTGGGATGTCTCGAACTATTATGGCATAAATGTCATAGGCCTTGCTAGTGAAGGGGGATTGTGGGATAGGCAGGTCAGCATACGTCACCTCAATGACATGGGGGCCTGGAAACAATTATGAACATGTAAACTTTGTTTTGAAAAATGCAATACACCTAGCCCAATGTAAAGATGGAGTTTCTTACTAACTCATATTCTTCAAATATTTTGTATCAATAAGACACTATATATTATATGCTTACCAACAATCTTGGGTGTGTAGTCCACTCGGTATGTTCCATCAGAGTTAGAAATTACAGAAGCTGGAACTGGTTTTAATCCTGGCCCCATAACCTTGACCTTGACCTCTTCATTGCCACTATTGTGGGTATCAATCTCGAAGGAGGCCATAGCATTGACAGGGACCAAATTAAGACCAGATCCACGTGCTGTAACTCTACTGGCATCAACCACCTTAATTGACCATGGGCTACCTGAAAGTAAAATGTCAAATACAATGCAAAATGATATTATTCAAGCAGGGGTACCATTTGGTGGACTTAGATGGTGAACCAATTTGTATTCTCTAAAGCGAGACAAAAGTAAGAGCTGGAACCAATCGTGCGAATTATCAACATGGGCCACATAAAATTATAAGATCAAAATTATGAGCATCCTTCTGATAAAAAGCAGTCCTTATTTGTCTAGAGTAATACAAAAAACAAAAAAGTATTATCATTATAAGTTTGAAATGCTTATTAAAAGTACTTATGTCTTGTAGACTTTCTTTTATAGAAAAAAGGAAATAAAAAAGTCTGAGGTACAGACAGAAGTTCTATGATTTTATGGTAAAGAATGAACATTCAACATCTCGTTATAATGATATACCACACTGAGATAACTAAGTTGAAGAACTTGAAGTGAGAGACCCTTTTAGAAAAGCACTTTTTGATGTATAGAACCATCTGATGATGTCAGTTTGAAGAACTGAAAATTCAATTTGACTAAGATTTGACCTTGGCCTAAATAATAAAAAAAAAATATCCCACTAATGTCACTTAAATATTCTAGATTGTATAGACAGATCATACATAGCATAACAAGGATGGCAGAGAGATGGTGAGAAATATGGAATGAACCTATACCTGGAACTTGGTCCCTATTAAATGTAATGTCAACATTGTGTCTGTGTGTGTCTAAGGGTACAAATGACACCTGGTATAGTCCCCTACTCTGCTGCTTCATATTGACTGGGACTTGCCCATTGTCAACCAAAACCTCCATGTCTCCTTCTCCTGCTGCTCTGATGTCAACTGAAATTATGGGATATATTCAAAATACTGAATAGAAGTCCACTTGTGTTCTGAGAGACATCTTTTGTCATTGGTTTTCATATACTTTTACATAGTGATAAACATAAATGTATACATGCAATAGCCAGACAACATCAATTTAAGAAATACTTTTTCAAAAAATATTTCTAAATCATTCTACACATTAAAGTGCAAAATTGAATGCTATTTTATAAACTGTATTTTTATTCATAATGCATACCTGTGAACATATCAGGTTTACCCACAATTCCATCTGGTATGCTGCTGACCTTGACAGCACTTGCATCATAAGCTTTGCTACTAAATGGACTCCCGGGAATTGCTAGCTCTGCGTACTGAACCTCAATGTTATGCAATCCAACCTATTGATAAAAATGATCATTATGATAATAATTTAGGAAATAATGTTATTTTAAATTTAGGGCACAATTTACTCTTATCAAGGAAACATTCAACAGGTAAGACTCTACATTGCACAGAAATCATCAAAAATTAGACAATACAGACTCAAAATTTAGAAAGAAAGAGTGACCATGAGCTGATGGCATTTTACCTCCTTAGGGACATACTCCACATTGTAGGTACCATCCATGTTGTTGATAACACTGTTTGGAACTACCTTGTAGCTGGGTGCTGAAACATTTTAGTATATCATATACATATATTATATCATGTACTTCAATAAATAAAACAATCACGAGACATTTGAATAATTTATGACATAATCATGTAAGTGTTCATATTATGACATTTGTTGTAAATATGAATGTGCATAAAATTGTATTAAATTATCAATTTTTGTTAGAATCAATCAGAACTCAAGAAAGTTCATTCAAGAAGAGAAAGTTTAAAACCAAATTGAGAACAACTGGCATTAATTTTCCATTTTCATATTATATTTGGTTAACTGTAGTGTAGAAACAAAAGTTTGGTTGCAGTAGTATAGCTTGGTTAATAAGTTGGGTGTACACATATACATACAATCACAGTAATAGTGATATCTCTGAAAACATTTCTCACATACATGCACAAATCACATACATATTCATCTCCCTCAAATCAGGCTTTTATTACATTGCTTTAATTAGCACCAATGGAGACAAAATAACTTCAATGCACATGGCTTCATTATTGATCAAAGCAAATTCACAATTCAATTCTAAAGAGGAAATAGATATGTAAAACTGCCAACTGTACTATTCATGAACTCATAAATCCATCAATTCATACATGTCATCTTAGAATTCAGCCAAGATAATAATAAATTCAAATCATCAGATCATGATTTTTGGCCATATTGCCCATCAGTGAACTGACTCATATTACTTGACCACTTGAAACAGAGTAAAAGTTCTTACATGTTATCTTGACTGTTGCTTCATGCTGCCCTATTCCATGGGAGTTGATCTCAAACCAGGTTGGTCTGTCTATAGGTATCAAGCCCAAGCCATGCCCACTTGCTTTTACTCTACTGGCATCAACAACAGCAACAGTGAATGAACTCCCTGGTACAGGTTCCTCATTGAATGTAATGCCAACACTGTGGTCCCTAGCTTCTGATGGTACAAACGTCATCTCAAATATGCCACGACTCATCATTCGAACACTGTTAGGAACAGCTCCATTGTTTACCATTATCTCCAACTTTCCCTCACCCGCTGTTGTCACATTTACTAGAAATGGAATAAAATGTTCGCATTTGTCTTTTTCACATAGGTACACTGTACTTCACTCACACTAACAGTTTTAAAATGGAACTTTGGAATCTTTCCAATATCTGCAGTTTGCATTGGTACATGTAGCTCCAGTTGGAATGGTTTTACTAAATCGTCTGACAGGGTTGATTAAAAAAGAGACTTACCAACAAACTTAACAGCTTTTCCCACAATTCCTGTTGTTGGACTGTCTACTGTTATGGCACGGCGGTCATAAGCACGGCTGGTAAAAGGACTGCCACTGATCTGTAGGTCAGCATAAGTCACCTCTATGTTATGTGGACCTAAAAATAAAATGACAAGGTTGTCACAACACTTTCAAATCAAAATTCCCCTAGATACCTTTTTCTGATTCAAGCAATTTTCCCATTTCATGTGTCATTTCAGGTTGTGGTCCAACTTTCAACTTTTATTTCACTCATTTACATGTAAAAGTGAGTTCTCTTGGAATAATAAAATTCTAAAGGAACCATGGACAACTCTTTAAATGCCAACATTTGTTTCCCTGGTGGATATATAATAGATATAGATTAGAAGATTCCAATCCATTACCATGCCATGCAAATCCATGCCCAGTCTATCCAGGTCAGGAAAATGATTTTTGCATTTCCTTGACTGCCCATGACTCCGCCATGACTGAGGCAATCCTGCATGATGTTATTTCATGATATTGATATCTTCCCTGGTTATTCATGGTTGTATTCAAAGATTACAAGTATTACGTTCAAGGTTTGTCCAACTTTCTCTTTTCTGATACACTGTACTTGTACATCCCCATGACAAGTGTTTGGTACCACCTGATGCCAATACACCCTTCCCTCTTCTTCCTAAATCTCTGAACCATCAGACTCAAAGTTTGACATTGTACTGTAGTTAAGCCAAAATGGTTTTTCTACAGGGTATCATAATACTGTGTGTACTGATCACTTACTTAATTTGACTAATTATCTACTGCATATAAATATTTAACAGACAAATGATTGGCTTTGGACTGCAGGATTATTTAATATGTTACTTAAAGGAATATTCCTTGCCAGACCCTTTCTCTCTTGATATGGTAGCTATAATTATATATATAGTTTCCATATTAAGCAAAACATGGGAAAATGTTTTAATATGGTCAATATTGATCATTTAAAAATCTAGTGCTTATTTCCAGTGAGCTGCCATCTTTTAAGATTTCTTGCAGGAAGTGATGTCATCAACTCTCAACTTCTATAACCTTGCCCATAACAGTATAGGAAAGTAGCACAAAATCACTTCTAGACAAGTGATCATTACTTTCTGTGCAAAAATATTTTCAGGGCTTGTCAACTTGGAATAAAAGAAGAGATTTTCAGAAGGATTAAATAAGATACAAAGTTGAAAAAGAATATTTAGCTGGTTTTGTACTTCTCAATAGCTCCTCACCTAATGCTATATGCAAAGTTGAGAGTCGATGACATCACTTCCTGTGTGAAATTTTAAAAGATGGCAGCTTACTGGAATTGAGCATCACATTTCTAAGTGATCAAATTTGACCATATCAAAACATTTTTGCGTGTTTTGCTAAACATGGCAAGCATATATATGGTTATAGCTACCATATGAGGAGAGAGATGGTTTGGCAAGGAATATTCCTTTAATTAACTTCCTCTTGGGATAGGGCACTACTGTACATGTACATGTAGATCATGAGTGTCAAGAACCTGCATCCTGTGTTATGTTACAATGGGCTAATGATATTTCCTCATTCTCACATCATCTCTGAAATCTTACATCTTGTAAGATTGAAAGACTCTTTGATGTTCTACATAATACTCACCAACTTCAGTAGGTTTATATTCCACTTTGTATTGGTTTGCTCCATGTGGGTTCATCTGGTTGGGAACCTGGGGATGAACAAATGAGGGTCACATTTAAAGAGAACAACCACAAAAATACAGGAATTAACAAGACATTAATATGCAAAATGTCACCACCTGCCATCTGTTACAGACATTGAATGCCGACTGTCAAACACTGACTGCCAAACACCAACACAGTCCACAAAAAAGTTGGAGACTATAACAATTATGGTGCTGACATAATAAGGCTTACAAGTGTATCGTCAATGACTGTAAATTATATTTCTTCTGACAAAAGCAAGCCATTTTGAATCTTGAAAATTCCTTATGACAAATGGTATTTGTTATCGAAGTAGTTTTTGTAGTGGTTTATAACATGAACTTGAACAGTTTGCATGAAAAAATATTTGGAATTTTCTTCTATTGCTTTAGCAGAAATCAATATTGTACCAGAAGTACCATCTTGCTGTGGACCAATGATACTGAAATTTCCTTATGGAGCAGGGGTCCTATGCCCATAATGTATCAGCCATTAAGTTTGAATCGAATCTATAAACTGGTGTTTGCCAGACAGACAGATGGACTGCTTCTCTATATTGTTATTTGAACTTCATTTGGTGGAGGTACTAAATATGAGCAGTAAGCAGGTATACCTCTCTACCACTTGGGGCTGTGATCGTAGCCAACATTTCAGCACGAGGCAGCCCTGATGTGTATACATTGAACTCAGTCATACTGTTAATGGGGACCCCTTGTAAACCACGCCCTTCGGCATAGATCTGTGAGGCATCTATTATTTGAACTTTACATGGACTCCCTAAAAATAAGTATTGAAAAACTCATGAAGGTATTTTACATGTAAATGTTATGTATTCACATTTTTCTATCAATAAATATATCACAAAGATAATATCAATTTTTCTGTCAATATAACAAATCCTATGGGTCAAATGAAATAAAATCTCTTATCTATTTATTAGTTAACTATGGTAAATCAATATATAATTCATCTTTAAAGAAGAATAAAATCCATTAAGTACCTGGTACATTCTCTCCATTGAATTTCACCAGTACTGAGTGTTGCTCAGCAGTGGTTGGAAGGAATCCTACCCTGTATACACCCTTAGATTGTCTTTCTACTGTATTTTTAACAGTGCCGTTGTTAACAGCTATCTCAACCTGGCCCTCTCCTGCTTGCTGGACATCAACTAAAATAACCATATATATATTTGTTGTTATGGGCACAAGAGACTTAGGAATGTACAGTATATGTTAATGGGTCACTCATCTATGACCGGGGAAAGCTATGTTCTCTAGAATCCCATGAATGCCTAGAAAATATGCAAATAACTTTTTTTATTCAGAAATTATTTTGATTGTTGAAATATAAGTTTCCCACAATATAGACCTACCTGTGAAGTAGACTAGCTTTCCAACAATGCCTATGGGTATGTCACTGATGACAACAGCTCCAGCATCATATGCCTTTGACGTGAATGGGCTGTTGTTGATTGACATGCCTGCATAGACAACTTCAATATTGTATGTTCCCACCTCTGGAGGTTTGTACTCAACTTGGTATGCTCCTTTTGTACGTCGGATCTGGCTGTTTATAGTGCGGTGACTTGGAGCTGAAAGAGATGGACCATATTAGAATATTCACAATTTTAAAGGTTTGATTTTGTTTTGACAATATGCAAAATATTGTGTGGAATTAAGAAGATATGAGACAATGTATTTTTATCACTCATGACTAGACTCTGAAATCAGTTGAGAAAGACTTACATGTCACAGTGACCTCAACATCTGACATGGTTGCCCCTGTGACATTGAATGATGTGACTCTGTTGACAGGAACCAGCTCAAGACCCTCTCCTGATGCATTAACATTACTTGCATCACTGATGTTAACAGAATATGGAGCATCTGCAAATAAAATGCTCTTGAGTATTAAGTTTGTTTGATACATTCATGCACTTTTCTATAGCAATTATATTTTGTTTTTACATAGATATTATATTACAAGCAAAATACTTTATTACAGTTCATATATGTGCATTTCTTACTATAGTTTATTTCTGTTCTTAGGATACACTTACTTGGTAGAGAATAGTCATTAAATTTGATATCTACAGAGTAGACTTTAGCCTCAGTTGGCACAAATGTGACTTGGTAGGCTCCATTCCCCAGTGGTTCAACATTGTTGGGCACTGTTCCATTGTTTATCATGATCTCTAGCTGGCCCTCTCCAGCTGCTTTCACATCAACTACACATGCAAATATAATATGACATCATTTGACATTTTGAATGCGTTTGAAATGTTGAACTCTAAGATTAAGTAATACAAATTATAGTTTTAGAAATCATGAATGTTCAAATTCAATGCATGCATAGTTGCGAAATGATTGCTTATTCGAGTACACTGTACTGGTGCAGATATGCGCTGTATGTGGAAAAACACCAGTTAGACCTACCTGTAAATATGATTGGTCGACCAACAAGTCCTGGGTTGATCTTGCTGACCTTTATGGCACTAGGGTCATAGGTGCGTACCCTGAATGGGCATCCAGAGACAGGTTTTCCTAGATACTCTACTTCAACTGTGTGAGCACCTGGAGACACACCACAAGAATGTTCGCATCATTACACTTATACTTAAGTGATGTTCCAAAAATGTATATGGTCATTTACCGATAGTTGATATATTTCATTTTTTATGTTCTATTGTTGATTTATCGACGTAAACTTTTTTCAATAATAATACAAGAAGTAATCATTCTCAGTAGGTCTATTTTCTGAATGCTGTTTATCTATTCTTGCCCAACAGAATAAATCTTTTACAATAAACTACAAGCAAGAACCCTGGATATGTTCATGTAAAGAATGTCAAAACATCTAATCATCTATTTTAAGTAGAACTGCATCACATACTCACCAACATCAATAGGAGTGTATTCCACTCTATATGTTCCAGGACCTTCCTCTGTTAGTGTGGTCTTTAGTGTTTTCTTGGTGGGTGCTAAAATTAATAGTACATGTATGTTTAAATTTTGCATCATAAGGGATTAATTCCATCAGATGTCATTTCAAAATACTGAACATGTATTGTGAATCACTTAAATTGTGAATCACTAAAATATAATAGAGTAATAACAATTGTTAATGTTCATATCTCATTTATTGCACATAGTTATGTATCTCCAAATCATTCTTTTCTCTCCCCAATTACATGCTACATTATTATTTTCCTTTTTACTACCATAACTCAACTCTCACAACCCATACATGCATCTTCACCAACTGTTCAACTTTTTGAAAAAATAGTAAATTGTAAACTGATGACCCACTTGACATCAAATAACCTAATTTATGAAATGCAATCTGGATTTCTTAAAGAACACAACACTCAACTCCAACTAACTGCTATAACAAACTACATTCTTCAAAATTTTGAAAATGGTCTCGATGTTCGAGCAATATTCTTGGACATTCAATCAGCCTTCGACAAAGTCCCTCATGTACTCCTTCTTCAGAAAATCAAATCCTACGGTATCCCAAAATCACTAATTGACCTTTTTCAATCTTACCTCACAAACAGAACAATTAAAATTAAGATCAATGATGAATTTTCTAGGTCAAGTAAAGTCGGTCAAATCAACTCTGGAGTCCCCCAAGGCTCAATATGGGGACCGATTTTCTTTTTGTTATATCTAAATGACGTAACAGACCACTTAAACTCTAAATGTTTTATCTATGCGGATGACACGTCACTTTTTTGTCCGGTTGACCCAATAAATCACCAAACAGATAGCCAAGTTCTTCAAGAAGACTTAATTCATATCCAAATGTGGTCCCAGAAATGGGGACTAACTTTCGCACCACAAAAAAGTCACGAGTTGATCTTTAATACAAATAGACCAATTGAGAGAACATATCCTAAGTTTGTTTTCAACGACACTCCAATAGATCAAACCAGAACAACGGCAACGCCAAAGCGTAGCGAATCCCATCGAACATTTTTCAAAACGGGCACCTTCTACCAAAAGTGTCATTAGACAGTGTGCCATGCTTATAATATTCACATACCAAATATGAACAAAATCGCTCCACTACTTTTTGAGTTATAGTAAAAAACGTTAAAATGGCTGCCATTTTGAAAAATGGCCGCCTTCTACCAAAAGTGTCATTAAACAGTGTGCCATGCTGATACGTATTCACGTACCAAATATGAACAAAATCGCTCCACTACTTTTCGAATTATAGTAAAATAAGTTAAAATGGCAGCCATTTTTCAAAATGTCCGCCATTTTTCAAAATGGCCGCCTTCTACCAAAAGTGTCATTAGACAGTGTGCCATGCTTACAGTATTCACATACCGAATATGAACAAAATCGCTCCACTCCTTTTCGAGTTATAGTAAAATACGTTAAAATAGCGGCCATTTTGAAAAATGATCGCCCTCTACCAAAAGTGTCATTAGACAGTGTGCCATGCTTATACGTATTCACATACCAAATATGAACAAAATCGCTCCACTACTTTTCGAGTTTTAGTAAAATAAGTTAAAATGGCGGCATTTTTTTAAACTGTCCGCCATTTTTCAAAATGGCCGCCTTCTACCAAAAGTGTCATTAGACAGTGTGCCATGCCTATAGTATTCACATACCAAATATGAACAAAATCGCTCCACTACTTTTCGAGTTACAGCAAAAATCGTAAAATAACGAGTAAAGGCCGCCATTTTTCAAGATGGCTGCCATGTGCTTTTTTAATATCTACATTTCTAGCTTTATTAATGTCCTATATAATTTTTTTACATTTAAAACATATTGCTATTACAGTTTTACATATTGCACCTAAATTACTGTAAAATCGGCACTAAAATGGCCGCCATTTTTAAATGAGTGGCCATTTTGAAAATCGGCTTTCGAGCAGAACTTCTACCCCCATAGGGTATATGTGTACAAAATATGAATAAAATCGGGCCAACGGTATTTGAGTTATTGCCCGGACGGACGGACGGACGGACGGACGTACGGACGGACGGACGGACGTACGTACGGACGGACGGACGTACGTACGGACGGACGGACGTACGTACGGACGTAGGTACGGACGGACGGACGGAGGCGTTCCCTATATCCCTCCGAACTTCGTTCGATGGGATAATTAAACATCATAAGCACCTCGGTCTAATTCTTGATGAAAAGTTAACCTTCAAAACCCATATTGAATATCTAGAAGGTAAAGTTCAAATATTATTAAATCCACTTATGGCACTTAAGCATAGATTAAATTCCAAACACCTGGAAAATGGAAAAAATTTACTCTTCCTTTATCCTGTCACATCTGCACCATTGTGATATCATTTATGACGCTGCTCCAGCTACCAGCCTAGCCCAGTTAGACAAGCTACATTATAGGGCAGCTGTTATTTGTTCTGGTGTTATGCAAGGAGCAAGCACAGAAAAAACCCTTGAAATATTAAATTGGGATAATCTTCAAAATAGACGGGATGAACATAAATTGCGCGTTATGTTCAAGATTCATAACAATTCGGCACCATCTTACGTTAAACGGATTTTCGAACGATATATATCACCTCAGACGCGAGTTCTTAGAACAACCAACGACTACAAATTACCAGCCTCAATTAGTAAAAAAATGGAAACGGGAACAGTTTGCTCAATGCTAACCTTGTGGAACCGTCTTCCTAGAGACCACAAGGAAACGAACAGCTTCTCACTTTTTAAAAAACAACTAAACGATCACCTCACCAAAAACACCGAACCTACAATTTCAACCTCCTACATACAGAATCTTGATAGAAAAGAAGAAATTGTACTAAATAAGATAAGAGTAAATCGATATTTCAAATCCGATCTTTTTGACCATAATTTCTCTTTCATTAACGATCCATATTGTGACTGTGGAGCTCGAGAGACAGCACAGCAAAAACTCTTGTCCTGCCCTCTGAGAGAAACAAATGCGCTAGCGGTGGTTAAACATGAACTAAACTTAGATGTTACTAAATACAAAACATTAAAAAATAAGACAAATTTCCTACTTTTTGGCAACAAAGATCTGACAAATGAAAACAATTCCAAAATCTTTAAGGCAGTTTTGAATTTCATTAAATAATCGATAACAGCAATTCAAATTCAAGGCACCAACGGGGGTACAGACAGGTAGAAAAACAGATAGTATCTAAATTATATATTTTTCTTACTCTAATAATGACTTTGACTAAATGTTATATTATATTGTATTTTAAATTCACTTAAAGCGGCAGTAGAAATGCCCTTTCAGGGCGATTACGCCGTGAATAACAATGAAAATGTATCTATGATTTTAAGAAATAAAGAGTATTTATTATAAAAAAAACCAAAAAAACCAACTGTTCAAAAATATCATATAATGAAAGATTAATCCTGTTTCACATTAACGTTTATGAAAAACCACTGACATTCAGAATTTTGATTTTCATTGATACATTTAACTAAATATTATGGAATCTCAGCAAATACTTACATAATATGCGTGCATGTATGTTAGTCTTCTGTCCCCCAATGACGCTAACCATGAACCATGCCTCTCTGTTTACTGGTATCAAGTCTGTCCCGCGGTCTACCACATCAACTTGTAGAGGGGGAGGGGCATCTGCTATCATAAAATTCCAAGGACTTCCTAAAACCAAATCAAGAAATTATCAATCAATTAGAGATCTCTAATACAGAACTTCTTTGAACCGCAGTCTAATTCCCTTACCATCATTGAAACACAGCATATTGTAATCCTGACATCTAATTTTAAACATATAAGTATAATAATCCTATTTTGGAAATCAATATTCAATCAATATTTCGTATTTGTTTACAATATACATGTTTATATATCATACCTGGTACAGCTTCCTTGTTGAAGGTCATTAACATGCTATGTTTCCCTGGGACATGAGGGATGAATGTAGCTGCAAATGTACGCCTTCCTGTACGCTGTACGTTACAGGGGACCTGTCCATCATTGACCACTATCTCTAGATTCCCACTCCCTGCCTTTGAGACATCAACTACAAGAAATTGAAAGTTGTGAACACTAATTATAAGAAAGTGAAACAAAATGAATTTTCACTTGGTACCACTTGGTCAGGGCTTAAGCCAAGGGCTGGTCTGCTGGTCATTTGCCAAGTCACTTTTAATATGGACCAGTTGACTTTTTCACTAAGTCTAGGAAAATAACATGGCAACTGGTCTTAAATGGCATTTTGACCTGCTGCTCTCAGAACCTTAGCTCAATCCCTGCCTTTGGTTGTTATTCAGACATCTTTGCATAAAATAATAGCCTTGCAGAACTATATATACTATAAATATCTGTATCTGCACCTGTAATTCCTGTAATTTCTATATACAGCTGAAAATGAGCCAAATATACAATAGTTCTTGACCAAAATAACTCTGTCCAAAGTTCAGTACTTACTATCAAACTGTACAGGTTTCCCAACAGTTCCATTGCTTGGGATATTCTTAACGTCAACTTTGGTTGCATCCCAGACATCAACTTCATATGGGTTGCCATCAACAGTTTGCCCTTCACGAACCATCTTTATGTGGTATTCTCCTTGAAATACAAATATCTAAAATTGCAAAATCTACTTCACTTAACATTTACGTTTCCAAAAACTTGACAGAGAAATGATCAAAGCAACAACATTTTTACAATGTTGCTAGCAAAAAAAACTGAAAAAGCAATTTGATTAAAGTCACTTTACTAGCCAGTGTTCTAGAGTATTTACTACAAAAAAATCCACACAATGTATGCCGAATGACACATTGCTGATAGGCGTATATGAGAACACCTTAGTTCTTTCAAATACAACAAACACAACATTGACATTAAAAACTTCTTTAAATGTGTATTCAAACAGAACATTTCAAAAGATTTTTAAAATCTAAATAGGTTGTTTTGACCTGTAATGAGAAATAATAAAAGTAAAGTATTATTAATTCTTTTAAAATATATGCACAGGAAAATGAAACAGCATCATTATTGAAAATTGAATGTATCATTTATAATTTATTGTTCTTACTTATAAAATATTGGTTAAACCATAATTTCCAACCACCAAACTATAACACCCATAGGTCTAATATTAAACACCTAACATATATAAACCCTGAAACCAGCATTTGTAAATGGTATAAAGCCATGCACAAGAAAAAGCAAGCTACTTCTGTAACTTATATTCCATGTAACTGTAACCTAAATAGGTAAATATTTATCAACTGGATAGATACTGTCTGAGATTTTTCATCATTCCTTTATATTTCATTTTGTACAAAGTGATTTCATACAGTTTGGTCACATTTCCATGCAATAATAAAATTAGTACCGTGGGTACTGGGCTCACATGGTGACAGAAAAAAACCGGATATAATTTTTTGCTGATTTTTTGTAACAAAATTATTTCAAGCCACTTGCCACTATTTTGGACTGACTGAGAGACAGATGGACAAATCGATGTTAAGTAAAATGGCTGAGAAAAAAAACGGATATAATTTTTTGCCAATTATTTGGAACAAAATTATTTCATACAACTACTCTTTACAGTGACATGGCTTTTTGCAATGCAAGACACCTGAAATTATTTGTAAAGCTAGGAAATAGGCCAAAATTGAATTTCGCGAGACAAAAATGGCGACCATTTTGAAATCAGGCAAGCTTTTGAACCAGGAGTCATGGGGGAGTTTTTTTGTATTGATGTTGAACAAAAATAATGTGAAACTGGAATCCTATCGACAGAGGTTTTAAGCAAATGGTTCAAAAGAGGATTTCGCGAGACAGATGGACAAATCAATGTTGACTAAAATGGCTGAAAATAAAAAAACAGATATAATATTTTGCAGATTTTTTGTAACAAAATTATTTCATACAACTACTCTTTACAGTGACACGGCTTTTTACAATGCAGGACAGCTGGAATTATTTGTAAAGCTAGGAAATGGGCAAAATGTGAATTTCGCGGAACAAGAATGGCGACCATTTTGAAAATAGGCGAGCTTTTGAACCAAGAGTCATAGGAGAGTTTTTTGTATTGATGTTGAACAAAATTAACTTAAAACGGAAATCCTATCGACAGAGGGTTTAAGGTAAATGGTCCAAAAGTGGATTTTGCGAGACAGATGAACAAATCAATGTTAACTAAAATAGCTGAAAATAAAAAAAATGGATATAATTTTTCGCTGATTTTTTGTAACAAAATTATTTCATACATCTACTCTTTACATTGACATGGATTTTTACAATGTAGGACACTTGAAATTATTTGTAAAGCTAGGAAATGGGTCATAAGTGAATTTCGCGAGACAAAAATGGCGGCCATTTTGAAAATAGGCGAGCTTTTGAACCAGGAGTCATAGGGGAGTTTTCTGTATTGATGTTGAACAGAAATAACTTAAAACAGGAATCCTATCGACAGAGGTTTTAAAACGTGCCACTGTTATTGACGGAAAGTGGATTTCGCGAGTCAGATAGACAAATCAATGTTAACTAAAATGGCTAAAAATAAAAAATGGATATAATTTTTCGCTGATTTTTTGTAACAATATTATAACATATATCTACCCTTTACATTGACATGGATTTTTACAGTGAAGGACACCTGAAATTATTTGTAAAGCTAGGAAATGGGTCAAAAGTGAATTTCGCGAGACAAAAGTGACGGCCATTTTGAAAATAGGCGAGCTTTTGAACCAGGAGTCATAGGGGAGTTTTCTGTATTGATGTTGAACAGAAATAACTTAAAATGGGAATCCTATCGACAGAGGTTTTAAAACAAATGGGTCAAAAGTGAATTTCGCGAGACAAAAGTGGCGGCCATTTTGAAAATAGGCGAGCTTTTGAACCAGGAGTCATAGGGGAGTTTTCTGTATTGATGTTGAACAGAAATAACTTAAAACAGGAATCCTATCGACAGAGGTTTTAAAACGTGCCACTATTGTTGACGGACGGACAGACGGACGGACAGACGGACGGACGGACAGACAGACGGACAAGTGAGTGATTGCAAAAGCTCACCATGTGAGCTAAAAAACTACTGTATTTAGTCTGAGATTTTTCATCATTGCTTTATATTTCATTTTATCTTGTATCAATCTGCTAAAGAAACAAAGTTATCAGTTTATAGCAAAAGGCAATGAATATCCAAGCAATGTATTATTTAACTGTTCACATTTTCATGAACTCCAAAAACCATTAACTTCTATGATTACCAAGCAACAGCATCTTATCATAGGTTTAGGTAACTATGGTAATTAACTGGGCACCGGGGTCTTATTTACATGCATGTCTTTAAATTCTTACCCCCAGACTCAGTGGTGTATTTTATTTCAGGATAGTATTTTCCTAAAACAATATAATCAAAACATATAAAATGGCAAAAAGTAAAGATCTAAGAAAAATACAGTGCATTGTAATGATAATCTGTCAGATTCTATGCCTATATTCCATGTATTTCCACTCTTATAGCTCATTTGTACAATATATTCAACTTACTGCATTGTTTACCTATAATCAACATGTTCACTTGATTCCTCACAGATTCTATATCCATTCTATTTCACTTTAAAATTCATGTCTAGCATAGTATTTCACTTGTGGGTCATGTTTCTATGCAATAAACAAGGCATTAACATGACAAAATGTCACCACCTAGTTGCTCACAATATTATTGTAGATGATTTTGAAAAAATGGTCGATTTGTAGCAAGTTGAAAAAAGACCTTTTTGACCTTTAGAATATCATTGAAGGTCAAATCTATAGTCAGATTTGACCTTTTGAGAACCTCTAGATGATTTTGAAAAAATTGATCAATTAGAAGCAAGTTTTTTTACCCTGGGAGGGACAGATCTCAATTGTAAAGTCAGATTTGAACTTCTGATAACTTGTAGATGATTTTGAAAAAATGTCAATTTGAAATAAGTTGAAAAAGACCTTTTTGACCTTTTGTGACCTTGAGAAGGTCACTGAAGCTCAAATCTAATGTCAGATTTGAACTCCTGATAACTTATAGATGATTTTGAAAAAAAATTGGTCAATTTGAAGCAAGTTGAAAAAATACCTTTTTGACCTTGAGAAGGTCAAATTTCAAATATAAAGTCAGATTTAAACTTCTAATACTTTGTAGATGATTTTGAAAAAAAAATTGTCAATTTGATTGAAAAAAAATTTGGTAAATTTGAAGCAAGTTAAAAAGGACCTTTTTTGACCTTTTTATGACCTTGATAAGGTCAATGAGGGTCAGATTCAATATCTTCAGTCAGATTTGAACTTCTGATAACTTGTAGATGATTTCGAAAAAAAATTTGGTCAATTTGAAGGAAGTTGAAAAAAGACCTTTCTGACCTTTTTTTGAAGCAAGACATTTTTGACCTTGAGAAGGTCAACAAAAGTCAAATCTTAAATAAAGTCAGATTTGAATTCTGTAAAAAACTAAAGTCAGTCTAAACAGTATTTGTTCAGTTATTTGGGGTTTTGTTACATTACAATTTGTTAACGACATCAACCAGCAACCGCCACCCGCCGATCACCGACCGCCATTAAAAAAGAAATGGAGACCATAACAATATGCCATCACTTTTTGTTTTGGTGTGACATAAAAATTGATTTAGTGAATTAAACAGGGCAATTAATAATTTCATCATACTTAAATAAAATAATGGTGTATGTGAAATTCTTAAAACAATATGAGTTAATCTAACAAGGCATTAGCATGCAAAATCTGCAACCTGCCATTTGTTACATTTGCTGAACTCTGAATGCCAACCACAAAAAGGTTGGAGACTATATCACTCGTGTTTGTGACATAAATTCAGATTTATTTCAAAATTAAATGAGGATTCATTTCAATTTTGATACCTTAATATTTCTGGGGGCTATTTCTATTGCATTTTCTGTTGACCTCTCCATAATTAGCCCTTTGAAGAACTTTTTCAGAAACACAAAATATCACACTGTGCATGTTTTTAAATACATCATTCGACTTTGCTTCTTTGTAGTTTGTAACTAGAATGTGCAGGAAAGATTTTAAATTGCAACATAGTTGTTGAATTATCAACACCCTTGGTATACGCAGCTAACGAAAATTGACCGGTACGGGTCAAAAGCTGGACCGGTACGGGTTAACGGTTTTATTTGAATTTAAAATAGCCATAACTTGCTCAATATTGACTTCCTCGTGTCTAATTTGAAATATATGATGCCTCCCGATTGCTTTTAAGTACCCCAATTTTTTACAGATTTTTAAACGGACCAAAACTCTCTAAATGCGCATTTATGCTCTTTTCTCTCGAGAACGACTGTCTCATTTTCACGATAACTTTTATTTAGTACTTCTAACATATAAGATCTATTTTCCCCATCAAGGTATGATGTAAATGACATGCTATTTACATCTTGTGAGTTTCAATGATGCGCGTTTGATTTTATAAAAAATGCCAAACTTTGTGACAAAGAATTTCATCCTGCTTGCAGCGAGAAGACGGACCAGTTTGGGGCAATCTCCTTGCAGCGAGAAGACGGACCGGTTCGGGGCAATAGCTGATTAAAAATGGAAAATAAAG